CCAGTCCCCAGCGTGTTGCCTTGCGGAAGGGGACGCTGTCCTCAGCGTTACCCACGGGGGAAGTGAAACCAGGGAGAGGAAACCAAGCCTGACCGTGTTTTGTTCCACTCTTGTGCGATCCCACATCCCGCCCCCGGTCCCAGCGCTCTGCCAACCTCTCTGCTCCCCACACCCTCCTTTTTGCGGATGTCCTGGGCCACCGCCGCGTCCCCTCTGGTGCAGGGGAACCCGCTGGCGCTGGGAACGTCTCAGCAGGGAGGTGCAGCCTGCAGCTGGAGGGGAAGTGTCTGAACTCGCTGCCCCTGGCCTCGGCGCTGCGGTCAGGGCTGGACAAGTGGTTTGGAGAGCAGCTCTCCTCCCGACGTCAGCTCTGCCCTGCCGCCAGCCCGCTAGGAACTAGAAACCAGATGGGTTTGGAGGAGATGCTGGACCTCCTGCGGTGTTTCGATGGGAGCAGAGCTGTTAAGGTGATGCTTGAGCTACAGGTCAGCGTGTGGTGGGCACCGTTTCTCCCTGTGTCTTCAAGCCCAGCCAAGATCCTTGTGCCTCAGCTTTGGTTCCTCTCTTGCGAGCACACGGGAGCTGCTCGAGCAGCATCTGGGGTCAGGCCCCGTCAGCCCGCTCCTGCTGTTTGTCTCTGCTTTTCCCTTGCTGGCCCAAACGATCCCAAAGCCGCGCAGAGCTTGAGGGGATGGATGGTCTACAGCCCAAGGAGGGGGGCAAGGTTCTTGACCACCTTCCCTGTCCCCCACGCCCAGGTCAGGAGCAGGATGGGTTGCGTGAAGTGACTCTGTCCACCCAGAGGCTCCGTGTTCTGCCTCCGGCAGCGCTGAGCAACCCCGGGCTGGAGAGCCTCAACCTCGACAGGAACAAGCTCAGGAGCGTCACCGGCATCTCAAAGCTGTGCAACCTGAAGAAGCTGATCCTCTCCAAGAATGAGATTGTGGACTTCCCCAACGAAATCCAGAGCCTGGTCTGTTTGGAGAAGCTGGAGCTGAATCAGAACCAAATCCGCGTCATCCCGGAGGGAGTTTTCTCCCACCTCTCCAGGCTTAAACACTTGCGACTGAACAACAACCGTCTCTGTGCCCTCCCCAGGGACCTGGCAGCTTGTCGAGGAAGCCTCCAGTACCTCAACATCTCCAGCAACCTGTTCCGGACCTTCCCCCAGCCTGTCCTGCAGCTGGCCCGGCTGCAGGAGCTCTACGTGCAGAATAATGCCCTTCGCCAGCTCCCCAAGGAGCTCTTCCAGGGGCAAACCCTCAAAATGTTCAAGGCCAACGGGAACCCCCTCCGGGAGCCGCCCAGCGAAGTGTGTGCCGGTGGTATCCAGCAGATCCGGAATTACTTCCAACAGCTTCAGCACAGTTCGGGCCAGGAGGACAAGAGGGTCAAGACGATGTTCCTGGGGGCCTCGCTGGCGGGGAAGTCCACCATCTGCAAAAGCCTGAAGCAGGGGCAAAGCAAACTGGTGCCCGAGGAAGAACGAACGGTCGGGATAGAGATCAGCGAGTTCCGGATCGAGGACTTCACGTTTCTCTTCTGGGATTTCGCCGGCCAGCTGGAGTACTACGTGACCCACCACGTGTTCATCACCCCGCAGGCGCTCGTCATCCTCGTCATCAATCTGCGCATGTAAGTGCTGAGCTGGTTGGGCTTTGGGTGGGAGAAGAGCAAAGGGGCTGGGGAAGCTTTCCCCTGCGTGGGTTCACACCATTTCCGCTGGACTCGATGCCTGGTCTTCTCCTCGCTGCGTTAGCTCACTGTCCCTCTCCCCCTTTTTGTAGATCACTCCTTTAATAACGCTGCTAGATCCATCCTTTGTTTTAAGGGGATAGCTGAGCACCAGCTCCTTATTTGACGCTTGAGTCCCACCTAAAGGACTTTGCTTTCCGCCTTGGAAATACATCTACGAGCCTTCCTGGATCTCGTGGTGCTCCCTGAATGTGGACGGAACGTCGGGCTTGTGCTACGGAGAGATGGTCCCACCCATAGCAGGGATGGCCACCACCACACCTTTTTGCCTGGCTTGGCTTAAGGATGGGATGAGCCCATGACAGCTTAGGAGATCTGAGCCCCTGGGACAGCACAGGGCACGCGGTCAGGCTGGTGAAAGCTGGCTGGGGATCCGGAGGGGTAGACGTGACTTTGGGATTTTCTTTCTCTCCCCAGGTACCAAACTAACGACGAGACATTCGAGGAGCTCGTTGGTTTCTGGATCAACAACCTCTCCATGCGAGTCCCCAACTCGGTGGTGCTTCCAGTGGGGACCCACGTGGACTGCTGCCGGGAGGAGGAGGTGGAGGAGAAGCGGCGTGACATCATGGCCAAGATCGCGGCCATGCTGGCGGAGAGGAGGAGCAACCTCGCTCACTTCATCGACAACCTGGAGGGCAGCGAGGAGTCCGAGTTTTATGTGGACCAGTGGGAGAGACTGAAGGAGATGGAGAGCTGCACGTTGACCGTAAGGCTGAAATGATCGTGGTTCCTTGCTGACCGTGGTCACCCCGTTGTCTCTGGCAGCCTGGCATGCTACTGGTGATGGTCACCTGGTGCTGAGCCATCAGCAGGCTCACAGGGCTGGGACGTGGATGTGGTGACCCCTGGCTGGGACTCGCTGGGTCCTTGTCACTGCTCAGTGATGGGCATCTCCTCCTGGGGCTTGGACAAAGTGCATTTACC